CAGAGGACTTCACTTGTAATTTCTTCCTTTTTGTGTGGTCTAAACGAAAGTCTGATCTCAGCAGATCTCTATAGCTAAGCAGGGTCGGTCCTGGTTAGTAATTGGATGGGAGATCACCAGGAATATGACACAGAGGCAGGCAATGGCAATCTACTTCTGAACGGCTCTTGCCTTGAAAACCCCACGGAGTCGCTATAAGTCAGTTGCACCTTGGTGACAAAAAATTAATACTGATCAAACAGCCCTTAGGCCCCACAGCTGACCATAAAACAGAGAGAGGGATGACAAAACCCCTCAGTTAAAAACCTAAGAGAAATGTTTTGGCCTGGCATCTAAAGGAAAGGAAACTGGACCCATCTCCCTTATGACTTGCTCAGAGTCTTGGGCAGGAGGTTGCTTGCCACAGAGGGCCACCTGGTACTGCTAAACGTGGCAATTACATGATAATGAGAATGGCTGCCATGTTTGTTGACATGAGGAAGGCATGTTTATTTGAGTTTACGCCATTTGTCTACAGTTTCATTCCACTCTTTCTCCAAGGAGCTTGGGGCAATATGCATTTCTCCCTACCTGCCTCCCTGATATTATCCTCAAAACATTCTTATCAGATAGGTTAGGCTGAGAGTGGGTGACTTGCTAAAGGTCACCCAGTGAGTTTCATGGCTGAACTGGGATTTAAACTTAGGTCCTAGAACGGGGTCTTCACCAGTGTTCCCACTAAGCTGAGTTAGTGTGAGCTAGCCCACAGTTTTTTAGCCTCCAGCTCACACATTTTGATCTTAGCTCAGGAGGGATGGCTCCAGAGCAAACTAACTGATGCAGCAGCCAAATTGCTTGCTTGCAACTTTAATACCAGTAGCTCACAAAGTAGAATTTTTGCTCACAAGAGCCCACAGCTTAGAGGGAACATTGGTCTTCACCCTTTTCAAGTATGCAGGTACCTTTGGATTTCTGACACAGAGTGGTGGGCACAATCAAAATGGCGGCCCCAGGAGGTGGAGCCAACCATAAAATGGCTGCCTCAGGAGGCAGAGCCAAAATATCAGGAAGTGAGGTTATGCATAACTGTGACGAAATGTTTTGTCTCCTGGAGGGAGGTTGGCAGGCCATAGCAGACTGCTCCTCCCTGTTTCCCCCATCTCTGTATTTCAAAAGTGTGAGGTTTTTTTCCTTTCCAGGTAGCAGGAAGCCAGTCTCAACGGCCTGCTACTTCACAGCCATAGTTATACTAATGACCGTGCTAGCAAAGTCCATGGAGGGATTTGGTGTTAGATTTCCCAGAATGCCTTCCAGGATGGCTCCCAGGAGGCACCTGTATGCCCCAGGATGCACCTGGGTGTCCCAGGGTCCACCTGTGTGACCTGTGTGGTCCAGGTCAAGGGGGTGGAGGGAGTCAGGTAAAAGTGGGTGGAGACACAGGTAAAATAAAACTCCTGGACTCCAGGAGGAGAGGGCTTTTTGGTGTGAATTCTCCAAAAGGAACGGGCCTCTGATCTGCAAGCTGGAAGTCATCTTGGACCATGCGGTTGGTCCGTTTGTCTGCAGGGAACCTGAGGTAATGGGACATCTTTAGAAAATCTTGTAGCTTGGTAAGATTATTTGCTCTACTTTAACATCCAGCTAGGGCATGTGTATCACAAGGACAGAAGGAATGTGTTTTGTTCCCAATTTCTTTTGTCTCTGTTTGCTGATCTGGTGCTGTTCTAAAAGTATGCCTGTGAACTTTTCCTTTTGTTTGATTAAGAAATATTTTAATCTTTGACGCTGGTAGTATTCTCTGTGCCACATTGTTCCCCAACCACTTGGACACACTAGTATTGTGTATGGGGGGGGGGGATCCCCAGGGAGGAGGGAAGCAGTAAAGGCACCAATTGCCAACCTTCCAGGGGAGCCCCAAGGAACTAATTTGGTCCCTGAGGTAACCAGATACTGAGTAGCAGGAGACGAGAGGTGGGGCCTCAGGTCGAGAAGGGGAGTCATGAATTTGTCCCTCCTGGCAGGAAGACCCCAAAAGGACGATAGTGGGAGCATACCCTAGTGGCAGGAAGTGGAATAGCACCCTCCAGGAATTGGCACCAGCCACTGAGGGGCCAGGCAGAACAGGGTCTGTAAGTCAGAGCAGACCTGTTCCGCCACAAGAACTCTAATGGTAACTCATCAACATTTCAGGCAGAAGCTCTGTTTAACAGGATGCCTTTTAAATGAACACATTGTTCAGAAACATTTTCTTGCATATGCACTGCTTTCCTTCGGTCATGCCATGAGCATCCTCCTACGGTGGTGGCACCTGCCGCTGAAATTTTTTTAAAAAAAAAATCTGCACAGCCAATCTGAAGCTCTGCTGGGCAAAAGCCCCACCCGGCCCCTCTCAGTTTCTAGAAAACACTTGGAGGGCACCAGGAAAGCTGTCAGTGGGCACCATGGCACCATGTTGGCCAACACTCTAGTCACACGGAATCTGACTGCACAAGTGTGTGCTTATAGCACAGTAACATTAGGAAACATGGCCACCTGGGAGAATAAAAATAAATGTCTTACCAGTACTGTCTCTAGCAGGGGGGCTCAGAGCGGAAGACATGAGATGTCCATGTGGGCACTTGCTTACCAATATATCCTGGCTTACTTTGACTCCTGTCCACCGACCACAAGGACTAGCAGGTTTATGGGAAGATGATGGTTCACATATGAGTGAGAAGGATCGAGATGGGTAGGTGTGTTAGTCTGTCCGTAGCAGTAGAAAAGAGCAAGAGTCCAGCAGCACCTTCAAGACCAACAAACTTTGTGTCAGGGTAGGAGCTTTCCTGAGTCACTGCTCACTTCTTCAGATTCTGATGAGTGTTTGTACAGAGCAGCCATTAGGGTTGCCAGGTCTGGGTTGGGAAAAACATGGAGGCTTTGGGGGTGGAGCCAGGAGAGGGCGGGGTTTGGGGAGGGGAGAGGAGGGGCCTCGGCATGGCACAAGGCCATAGAGTCCACCCTTCAAAGCAGCCATTTTTCTCCAGGGGAGCTGATCTCTGTCAGCTGGGGATCCGTTGTAAAAGCGGGAGATCTCCAGGCAGCCATCATGGCCCATTGAGGAGATCTCTGCAATCGTTAAGAGCCATTCCCTTTCCTTTTGTGATAAACTCTGCCCCCCTAGACATGCCTCAGTGTCCCAAGCCCCTGGGGGTTGCCAAGTTGCAGATGACTTAGGGTAACTCCATATTTATTTTATTTTATTTTATTTTATTTATTTATTTATTCAGTTTCTATCCTGCCCTATCCTGCAAGCGGGCTCA